AGCTGCAGCAGTTTCGCAATCTTTGGCAATGGGCTGAAGCTGCAGCAAAAGCTTTTCAGGGCTGCGAAGCGTCCCAACCAGCACTTGGAGGGCTGGGCTAAATGTGCAAACCAGCAGTTTCGAAACCCCATCGATGTAGGTTTTAGCATTTTGGGGACTTTCCGGAAACAAGGTGAACCCAATCATTGGCAACGGGCTGAAGCTGCAGCGAAGCTTTTCAGGGCTGGGCGAAACGTGCCAGCCAGCAGTTTCGAAACCCTATAGAAAGGAGGTTTTGGAGCTGAAGCTGCAGCACTTCAGAGACCTTATAGAAACCAGCACTTTGGAGACCCTATAGTAAACAAGGTTGGTGAACCTAGCAAATTTTTGAGCCCTGGCCACCTGGAACTGAAGCTGCAGCAGTTTCGCAACCTTTGGCAACGGGCTGAAGCCGCAGCGAAGCTTGTCAGGGCTGGGGGAAACGTGCCAGCCAGCAGTTTTGAAACTCTATCAGAAACAAGATTTTGGAGCTGAAGGCCCTATAGAAACCAACACTTTAGAGAACTTGGCTGGCCACCTGGAGCTGAAGCTGCAGCAGGAAACTTTTCAGGGCTGGGCGAGCCGTGCCAACCAGCAGTTTCGAAACCTTATAGAAAGGAGGTTTTGGAGCTGAAGCTGCAGAACTTTAGAGACGCGGTAGAAACAAGGTTGGTGAACCTAGCAAGGTTTGGAAATTGGCCGCAGCAGTTTTGCAACCCAACCCGTGGCAACGGGCTGAAGTTGCAACGAAGCTGCAGGAGCTTTGCAACCCTTGGCAAGGGGCAAAGGAGGTTTTGGAGCTGAAGCTGCAGCACTTTAGAATCTTTAGAGTTAGAGACCCTATAGAAACAAAGCTGGCGGACCCTGGCCACCTGGAACTGAAGCTGCAGCAGTTTCGCAACCCTTGGCAGCCAAAGCTCGCACAGGTGGGGTCACAGCCAATGTCGCACACCTACGGTGATCCCAGGCGCCGCCCCGCCTAGGCCAAGGCTAGGCAGGGGCCGGCGGATTTTTATGGTATAAGCGCTTAATTTTATGGCATAAGCACTTTTTATGGCATAAGCACTTTTTATGGCAAAAACGCAGGAGCTATCAAGCTGTTGGGGATAGCACGTGAATTTATACTGATTATATCGTATCATATCATATCATATCATATCATATCATATCATATTGTGTGATATTATATTGTATTATATGGTGCTATACTATATTTTATTTTATTTTATTATGTTATGTTATATTATATTATGTTATATTTAATTAAATTATATCATGGTATATTATATGATATGATATTTTATCAAATGATATGACATGATCTGAAACCATATGATCTGCTATGATATTACATTATATTAATCTATATAAAGTTCTATTTTATAATACTTGATAAAGATTTTTTTGGATACTATATAGTATAACATAATATAACATAATATAACATAATATAATATAATATATAATATTATATAATATTATGTAATATAATATAATTTAATACAATATAATTTAATTTAATATAATATAATGTAAAAATAATATGATATAATATAATTTCATATAATTTCATATAATTCATAATATAACATAATATAATTTCAAATAAGATAATATGATATAATAAACGATTATATTATACAATATAATACTATTTTATTTTAAACTATATAATGTAGTTGAATATAATATATAATAGGCTGTACTATATATATATATGTATGTATAGATATATTTAGTCATACAACATATACCACCCGCAGATTAGTAATCCCTGGCGCATCAAGTAGGGGGTTCCGCCAAATAGCGACAACCTGCTGCTGCTAAAATGATGGCCACCCAATTCAACAGCCGAAGGGTTTCTTAATCCGGGTGGAGATTATACAGCAAACCTGCTGACGAAACGGAGCTTTTAAAAGCTGTTGACCATGGCCCTGCCCCGGCCCTGGCTCGATTTCCAGAGTTCTGGGCTGATCGGGCACTCGGTATGCATTAATTCACAAGTTCCTTCTGCTTTTGGGTCCGTTTCGAGCCATTGAATTCAACAACTGCAGCCTGCACCCGTCATGGCTGAAAAAGAGGCTTTGAATTTAGCTGGACTGTGCGGCGCAATGCTGCACCGATCAGATCTCGCCCAGCTTGGTGAAGGCAGTCGTGCAATGCAGCCCGGCAAAGGACGCTGGATCAGTGGATCAAGCATGGAAGACATGCAGGTAAATGACCCCAAGCACATTTCAGCCAGTGAAAACCTCCCTCACTTCCTTGGCCCTTAAGAATGAAACAACATTAACATGCAGAGACATGAGGGAGACTGAGAGACTGAGAGAATTCAACTGAAGTGTAGGGCTCAATACGGTCGAACGTGCAATAAAAAGATGGAGAACAACAGAAGTCTAAACCACTCTCTACCATACTCCGTAGCCTGTTTACATTCGTGTTTTCAGGTTCTTGCTGCCCTTGAGCCAAGCGCAGTAATGCTGTCCGTGATGGGAATTGCAGCACCTACGCTGCAGGTGGGACGCATGAAAGCAATCCTCGATCAGCTGCTTTGTTCCACACAGACTGAAGGAAGAGGTCAAAACTTTGGAACTCGGCATTGGGGAACTGAAGCTCTCATTGTCTAGTGACCAGTCCTCTATAACACAGAAACACGATCATGCACGCATATATCATATATGTATACATGTAAGATTAACAATAATACAATTACACACACACAGATAGATCGATAGATCGATAGATCGATAAATCGATAGATCGATAGATCGACACATACGTAGATAGATCCATCGATAGATCGATAGAATAGATAGATAAGATTAAATAGATAGAAAGATAAGATTAAATAGATAGAAAGATAAGATTAAATAGAAAGATAAGATTAAATAGATAGATAGATAGATAGATAGATATGGTATATACATACTGTGTACATGAAACGTTTTTGCCTTTTGGTGCCAGGAGCTATGGAGCGGATTGGCCAGAGCGATGTTGCCACCATCCTTGGAAGGTTGTGGCTGAAACAGCATGAAATCACCTTGATTTGGTTCTTTCACATTGTCGCTTGCAGGCTGCACCAGGAGCTCAAGTCGCAGACACGCGATAGCAAGGCTCTATTGCGCCGCTGTGCGAAACAGTTTTTGCGCATAGCCAGCATAGTTTTGTTGTCAAAAACATGCATATTTAGTTGTCAAAGATCGGGAAACCTCCAAACTTCAAACTATAATAATTAATTTATGGTCTGGGCTTTTCATAGCCTGCATTTGCCACTAATTAATTGCTACAGTAATTCAAGAGGTGCCAAGATTGGTGTGGATATGCAGGCGGAACAGCACCAACTCATGCGCAAGGCCTTTCACTACGCCACCTGATGCGTCTGGCAACGTTTCGATTTAGGCAATTTTTTGACATGGTGGCAGCATTTGGAGAAGCAACAGGGCAGTACGTAGGTAGCAACCCGTGTGATGAATTTCATGCACTTTCTGGCGAACCCGGAAGACAACATGCCAGAGTGTGTCTAGTGCTATCTGCTATCTGAGGTTACAGCCTCTTTGCACCAACCTGCTCCAGTAAGCAGTCTCTGGCTCAGAAGCCATCTTCAGTCAGGACACTGGCAGAGTACCGGGACACAAACAGCATACGTTTTCATTCTGGCCTTAAAGGCTCAGGAGTGTGTCCCTGGTATCATGGCCTTCGCTGTTTAGCATGGCCATGTTCGACCTTCGGGAGGGTGGAAGATATGGAAGACATTGGAAAATTGAGGCGCTGGAGCCAATCAAACCCGGAAACTCAGTGAGGCTGGGCTGCTGAATGGCAGATGAGTTTCCGCGACATTTTGATGATACTTGATACGCGAGAGGTGACGCACCGAGTTCTTCAGGAGCTCTTTGCGCTGTTAGTAGGCTGGGCTCTCAGCGCAAATCCACCAGGGTAATTTTGCACATGTCTGCTTGCTGATGTGCCATGCTAGGAGGACTTTTGTGTCCTCCTCAAGTTGTTTTTTTTTTAAACTGCGGCTGTGTTGGCCCCTGCAACTGAAGCTGGGAACTTGCTGCAGGGGATAGTGGATTTGCACCACCTCGGATTCGAATCTTGAGCCGGGCCCTCACAATGCCTAAAGCTTTCAGAGGGTATTCCAAAGACACTACAAAAAGTTCAACGCCAAGTCTCCTGAACTGCAGGACTTCTGACTTGAGTGACATGCACATTTCAAGCCAATTGTCAAAGTCATTCATCTAACCTCAGCTCAGCTGGCTTCCGGAGGCTCGGCTTTAGTCAGGGAACTGTCCGCAGGGGAGGTGCTAGGCTTAGCGTCCAGGGGGGCCAATTGGGAAGTCAAGACGCACGCTTTGCAGTGTGTCTGTTTCTTGTCAGACTTGGTTTGGTCCTTCGCTCTCGGCAGGTTCCCTATTTCTTCAGAGACAATTTCGGCGGTGACTTTCATCACTACGATCAAAACAAGGCAGCTTTTGACCAGAAAGGGATTCTGAACAAATATGGGAACATAGTAGCACAAGGCCCAATTTGAGCAGCGAACGGAATTTGTGCAGTGTTTGAAGGTCGTTTACTTCTTGCCCGTGCTTTCCCAGCTGTCTTTGCCCTAGCTGCATTCCTTGACGGGGTAACCACACTGGCAAATGGTGCTGGAGGGCACACAGGCACTGGTGCTGCATGCTTATGATGAGCTATGCCATCAGTACTGCTGTCAGGCTCAATTCAGACTTGCTGGTCACCAGCTTAAAGAGTCACAAAGGGTTTCAATGGTATGTCCTGCTTTGATCTCATCTCATATTGTTAATTTTGTGAGCATGCGGTCCTTGGATGAATGCAACTGACATCAATCTGATTCGCTGTGCCGCTTTTCCTTTCAAGACGGCCAATTGAGCCATATATGCACTTGTGTGAAAACCGCGGTTCACTTTGCACCTTGCACTCATGGCGTTTTGATCTTCGCAACGACTTGGAGTAGCAGCACACTCCATATGTCAGTTGGTAGTGCGGAGCCAGCGCATAGCGTTGGCGTCGATCCATGGACTTCACATGGGTTTACTGGCCAGGTGGAGGAGGATGATGATGACACAACAGTTCCATCGTTGATCCCTGGCAATGAAACCCATGGACCTCTCTGGGTATGCGCGAGCTGTGGAAGCCCTGACTGGAGGCGGATGGGAGATGGTTACCGATGTTCTACGTGTGGCGGAGTTCAGTTCATTGACCACAACAATCGATGGAATGACGGCCTGGCAGGTTCATGGATTTTCGTGCCTTCGCAGGCGACACCACCTAGAACACCTTCGACCAATGCCCCAGGTACGCCCAGCCAGATGTCTGCAGCAGGAACCCCAGATGGAGATGGTTACGATGAGCCCAATCATGACCGCATGGCCGAATCCGAGACTGCTACCGATGATCCGAGCGTGGACACTATGACTTTGGCCCCTCGGATGAGTAGGAGACAACGGAGACGTGCCAAGCGGACTGCGCAGGGAGCTCAACCATCACATGGTGCCCTTGGAGATCCTCAAGCTGTTCGAGGTTCCATAGTATGCCCTGATGGTAAAGCTGTCCCTAGCCGTAAAGTTGCACCTGCCCACAAAGACCATCCTAGCTCTCAAGTATATCATAATTCCGGTAGTCAACATGACCCCAAAGTATATGGCCACGATCATCATCAGCTTGGACCTTCTGAACACCATGGAGGGCAAGATCAGAATGGTGATCCTTGGAGCCAACCAATGAGGAGACCATCAGAAACTTGGCGCGATGACATGCTGAAGAATCTTTCCAACGCTGTCACCAAGGACAAGTACAGCGATTGGAGCTTAGAAAAGGGACCAAGCCCTGGAGTGAAATATCGCTCAGGACAGCCGCCACCACCTCCGCAGTGGCACTACCAGAACTCAGACCTTAGAGCCTTTCAGAAGTGGAAGCGTCGCTTAGATGTGTGGCGTTTGCAGGTGTCTCGATACCTACCACCTCGTGAAGCAGCACTTCAACTCTACGTCAGCCTCAAGGGCGAGATGGAGGAGGAGCTGGAATGGGTGGATCTGAGAAAGATCGACTGTGACACTGGCATTGATTTCATCATCCAGCAGTTGGAAAAGCCCCTCAAGACTCGAGAGGTGTACGTGAAACGTCAATACCTCTGGGACTTCGAGAATCTTCAGAGGTCTCAAAATGAGTCTGTGCGAAGCTTCTGCAATCGCTACTACAGATGTGAACGTTCACTAGCAGCTGTTGGAGTGAACATCAATGCGGTGTATGACGATGAGAGCAGAGGAGCGAGGCTGCTCGACAGGCTCCGTTTGAGCCTGGAACAGCAGCGCATGATCTTGGTCGGTACCAATCAGAGCCTGAATTTTGACCATGTCAAGGAAGCTGCAATCCTTCAGTTTCCTGAACACCGACCTGCTCCATTCGTTGTGTATCACAAGGAATTCGACCGCAACAAGACCGACACTGGCAAGAATGACCGCAACGACCAGCAACGACCACAGCATGGAAAAGGAGGCAAAGGCAGTTCTGGAAAATCAAACGCGAAAGACAAGGGCAAGGGCAATTCTGGTCCTTCCTTCACCAAATCCACCTACCTGACCGAGATCCCTGAGAATGAAGCCACCGAGAACGATGGCGAAGAGGACGAAAAGGACAACCAGTCCGAAGCCTTTGAAGATCAGGAGGAGGACGAAGACCAAGAGACACCAGAAGATGATGTGGATCCAGATCAGGCAGATGTGGATCTTGCAGCCCACTGTTTGACTGTGACAGCCCGCCGTTTGGCTGGTTTGAAGCTGGGAAGGAAGTTTTCTGGTCAAGGCAACAAGAGCATCGCCCAGCGCAAGGCCGATAGCCATTGCTCTGCATGCGGCGTCAAGGGACATTGGAAAGGTGATCCCGAGTGCCAGGACTCTACCAATTCTACTTCCTCAGATTCCAAAGGGAACAAGAAGGGGAAGACTTCGACTGGCCCACAAGACGGCGATGCGAGCAAGAGCAAGATCAAAAAGGTCATGACCGTGACGCACAGCAGCGGCAGTCAGCAACAAGTTGATCCTTCCATCACCAACACCAAGACCTTTGGCACTTATTTCACTTTCATGGTCATCAACCCTAACTATGAGATACATCAGATCTTTGCAACCAGCGTCATCAATTTCAATCACTACCTTGTTTTGGACACAGCATGTCAAAGAACTTGTTGCAGTCGCTCATGGTTTACATCCTGGCAGGCGTATGTCGCGGACCAGAGGTTCCAAGCTAAGCTGTCAGAATGTTGCGAGCCGTTTGAATTTGGTCATGGCCCCACTCAATATAGCACACAACATGCATATCTACCAGTCAGCTTCTCCGACGAGAGCGAAACCACGTTCAGCCTGCTGGGAACTTGCATCATCGAGACTGCCAACGATATCCCGCTCCTAGGAAGCAACGTTCTCCTTGGCAAGAAGATGCAAGCCACTTTGGATCTTCCCAGGCAAGAAGCTTATCTGGCAGCTTTTGCATGTTCAGTACCAATAGTGATGATCAATGGACATTTGGCAGTTGATATTGCACGTTTTCCTCAACATGCTTCACGTAGTTTTACATGGCAGCAGTTTGCACAACTTTCTGATGAACATGATGCAGATCCTGAGTTCATTGCAGCCAACATGCTCAAAGCGAGGACTTTGACTTCAACGACCCTGGAAGATGCCGAGCGAAATGGACCACACCCGTGCGCCACCACAATGGCTCCAGCACTGGCGTCGCTTCATGGCAGCACTCTTCCAGGCGCTTCTGCTCGCCAAGGTGATGATACAGGCAGTTCGCCTGCGAATTCGCTCAAAGATGTGGCTGCAAGCACAGGACCCAATGGACCTGAACGAGAAAGAGATGCTGTTCAAGAAAGCCACCAGCGCATGCCAGCACGAGACAATCCAGAGAAGCGGCAACAAACACGGCAGGTACTCCAAGTGCCTGGTGTGCGGCAAGAGATGGGTGTGGGAAGAGTCAAGCCAAACATGGACAGAGCCAAAAGCGTCAAAAGCGCCGCGGCAGCTGCCCTTACCATCCTCGTCTACAGCAACCACATGGCTGGACAAGGGCTACACCCCAGCAGCGTTCATGGGCATCCCGACTTTGACTCCGCAGTCGAAGTCCCAAGGTGCACGACCTTCTCATGCCAAGAACTCCACACAGGAGATGATCCAAGATCGCAAGCTGGTCCGTGGAGCCAGAGCCAAGTCCGTGAAGAGAAGCAGCCGCGCTCAGGAGGAGGATTCGGAGGTCGACTGGGACCTGGTGGACGGAGCCAAGTCCGATTGAGCAAAACTGGAAACACCATCTGGCTGACCGGACACCTCCGAGCATGCCAGAAACTATATGACCGAGAAGTCCAAGCATATGAGGCGTTGGCAACGCACTATGACTATAAGAAGGCCGGTGCAGAGGTTGACCTCTTAGACCTCGTGGAAGTGTTTGCAGGCAAGGCCACAGTCACTGCACTTGCACCAGCTTTTGGACTCTCAGCCATACAACCATTTGACAAGATCTACGGCCAGGATTTGCTTGATCCCGAAGCTGTGAAGACCCTGCACATTGCCATCTCCAGGTACAAACCGCTGCTGACTTTGATAGCATGGCCATGCACCGAGTGGTCAAGACCACTAGTGGATCTGGGATGCGACATTGCAGAGGGTCAAATGGAGGAGGACAGACTTTTTCTGGCAGAAAATCCAATCCGTTCTCGCATTTGGAAAGAACCAAGGGTTGAAGAACTACGTCAACGTCCTGATGTTTTCACTGTGGAGAACGAGGCCGGAGCTTTTGGTGCAGAAACCTCCGATGGGCAACCAATCCAAAAGGGCCACCGGTGGATCACCAATAGCCCTGAACTGGCTGAACTGCTTTCGTTCAAGATGACCGCAGAGCAGAAGATGTACACAACACCAGTTCAAGGCAAACATACCAAAGCTTCTGGCGAATATTGTCTTGGTTTGGCATGTGCGATTCTAGAAGGTCTGCAACGTGAAGCTCGCAAACGCAATCCACAACGCTTCCAGCAGACCAACAAGAACGAGGTCTACTACCTCTTTCCGTCCCTGATGGCTTCCGAATGGGAACCCTCCTAGATGAAGCTGAGCGCAGATTCCAGAACACCTACAAGAAACCCTTCACCCTTGCTGAGAAGGACGACATGTACAAACAAATTGAACAGTTGGTGCCCTGGAATCTTGCGCGCGTTCAGGTTGCATGGACTCCACAAGCCAGACGCTGGCCAGATGACATCCCTTTCACCCATAGAGGATGTGCATACCGCAGCAACCAAGGTGAATTCTCCATCGGGCACGAGGACATGACCTCAGTCAACTTTCCCAAACAACGCTTCGCTCACCCTGTCAGAATAGCCATCTTCTTCTACGGCAATGCTCCAGAGGACGGTGACCACGACATGACCGACCTACGACAGGGAGAAGAGCAATCGACAGAACGCGTCCCTGGCATCAACACCGACATCTACTTTGAAGGTGGACCAGCCATTACGCGAGAGATGAGAACCTCCATTGCTCGACTGCATTGCAATCTTGGACATGCACCAAAAGCCGAGATTGTCCGCATCTTGGCAGCTGCAGGCAAGCTCGACAACAAGATTCTTGGTGCCTTAGATGCGCTTAGATGTGGAACTTGCAAGCGGCTGAGCAAACCCATCAAGCCACCAACCTCTTCTACAGCGGCAGCAACAAGGTATGCAGGTGCTTTTGGAGAACACCTACAAGCAGATATCATTTTCATCCGCTTGTTGGATGGCTCAGCATGCCCGGTTTTGGGTATGACATGCACGTCGACCAACTATCACACAGCCAAAGCCCTCGAGAATCGAACGCCAGACCATGTGCTCCAGACGTTACATGAGATCTGGTATCGACCTCTTGGGCTTCCAATATCAATTCAGCTCGATGCTGACACTGCGTTTCTGGGAGTGACCCAGGAATGGCACAACAACCTCGGCATTGAGTACGACATCATCCCAACCGAGGAGGCATGGAAGCTTGGAAAGATTGGTCGACGAAACGCCTTGATGAGGACACTGGCCGAGAAGCTGATCGACCAGAATGGAGTAATTGACAAGAAGCACCTCAACGAAATTCTCGTTGCAGTCCTCCACAGCATGAACAACAGCACCTACTCCTATGGAAGATCACCATGCCAGGCAGTGTTCGGACGTCTTCCTCGACCAGTTGGAGACATTCTGTCTGACGACAAGTCTCTGGCAATCTCCACACAACCTCATCCAGAACAACATGCTCTACGCCCAGAACTGTTACGAGCCGAGGCACTGTCAGCACTGGCACAGTTCTCCGCTTCACAAGCAGTTCGACGCGCACTACTACGCAAAACCCGACATCAAAATGATCCAAGCCACCTTGAACCTGGACAAGCAGTTGCCTTTTGGAGACAGAGTGCCGAAGCAAGACAGCACAAACGTGGAGCTTGGTGTCTTGGGCGCTTTCTGGCCATTGACCCGGACAAGAAGCATGCTTGGATACAGGTCGGGAAGAATTCCCTCAAGGTTGGAACAACACAACTACGCGAAGCTACAGGTTGGGAATCATGGACGCCAACCAAGGAAGACCTCAAAATGCTCAAGCAAGCAGAAAACACCATCGCAGCTGGACTGTGGCAAGATGAGACCGGACCTGCTCCAGATGAAGACGACACTACGCAGATGGAAGAGGACATCTTCAGACTGTCAATGCCTCGGGCCACTACAACCACTCTACCCACACCAGAACAACAACAACACCACGAGGCCATCGCAGACGATGAAGAAGCAGAAACACCTCAACTACCACCCCCATATAACATGGCCACCGTGCCACAAAACCTGCCATCACAACCAGGTCCAACAGAATCAAACGCAATGCAACCACCATATTCATTGCCATTTGCACAAGTTCAACCACCAACACAACACATATCACCTTTATTACCTTTAACAGCACGAAATCAACGACAAGAAGCCAGCGCAACACATGAATACCACCAATCGACTCAACACATTCAACAACAAAATCAATACCACCAGCAGAATTTACAACTCGTCAACATCCACTCACCAACATACCAGAACTTTGGACCAAGGACAGAATTTGGTTCAAATCCACCTACGCCACGAGGGATGAGGAGACGATCACGTACTCCAAACAACCGACTTCGACGACAACTAAGACCAGCGTCACCTGACTCAACCATGGCACCAGCTGATGACCAATCACAACCACCAGATGCCACAATGAACGAGCAACAACACCAGACTCAACCAGAAGATACAACAACCAAAATTCAACCACAGCAATACCACACCTACTACAACAATTACTGCTTTGAGTACTTCGACAATGGCGAAGTCGGACTGCGACCACCCGGCTTTGACGGAAGCCATGACAACCACAGCACAAACAAGCCCTCCAAGCAAGCATACACAGCATACCTCAACAGCAACTACCGCAAGGTGGAGATGAAGAATGTCGGCATCACCCACAATGCCAACCAGGCAGACCATAGCGATTCCGACAGTGACCTCAAAATCTCCAACCAGCGTACCATGACGAGACAAGAGCTGAAACAACTTGACAGGGAGCTTCCCTGGAGAGAGATCGTCGCCATGCCCAAGATGATCCGCGACAAGTTTGTGGAGGCCGCAATCAATGAGTACAATGGGTGGATTGAATGGTCAAGCATACGACCGCTCACTCAGAAGGAGGCGAAACAGGTCTACAATGACCCCAAGTTGAGGCGACGCATCCTCAAGAGCCGAGCGGCATACAGAGACAAAAGCCGCGGAGTTGGCGAGATTCGTGCGAAAGCACGGGTCGTACTGATAGGCTGCTGCGACCCAGATTTGGAAAGGCTCACCAGAGACTCTCCTACACCTACTCGCCTCTCCGAGTGCATTTTGATGTCCGTGGCAGCTTCAGGAGCAAATGGCGATTTCAACAATGATGGCAGGATCTGGCGACTTTGGGTGTCTGACGCAGAGAAAGCGTTCCTGCAAGGAGATCAAGATACGACCGAAAGGTCTGGTCAGCCACTCTACATGCTCCCACCAAAAGATCCCATCATCATAGAGGCCAACGTTTACACGGCACCTCTGTATTTGATAACTTCAAATGCATACGGTTTGCCCAATGCTCCTAGAGTTTGGTACAACAAGGTACACAAAACAGTGACCATGCACAACTTCAAACAGCACTCCTTCGACCGTTGCCTATACTACCACCTTGGAGAAGATAACCTATTGGACTGCCTCCTCATCATCCATGCGGACGACGTGCTGGCAACCTACTCCGAGACTTTCCAGGTGAACATTCTGGCGAACATGTTTCAATGGGGAAGCGTAACTCATGTGAGTTTGGAGACGCCAGGTGAGTACCGCGGGAAGGAGATCACAATGTTTGAAAAAGATGGCAAGAAGTGCTATCGAGTGACGCAGAAAGCCTTCATTTCCAAGCTGACGCCTGGATCATTGCCTACTGGTCGACTTCAAAAACCTTTGAAGCTGACAGATGAAGAGCGCAAGGAGTTCAGATCAGTTTGTGGATGCCTTCAATGGTTGGCTGGACAATGCCGGCCAGAGCTTTGCGCACCAACTTCTTTGTCACACAAGGGCGCTGACACCGATGTCCACGACCTGAAAGTGCTCTACGAATGCCTGGACTTCACCAAGAAGACCCCAGACAGTGGAATCGTGTATCCAGCCGTGCCCTTGAACCGTGCCTCAACCTTGATTGCCTACAGTGATGCAAGCTGGTCGAATGCTAGCAACTTCAAATCGCAGTTCGGTGCTCTCGTAATGATTTGCCCTGCTCAGGTAAGTGAAAAGACCAGCTATGGCTTCCTCGTGGACTGGAAGTCTGGCCGAACGCAACGAGTATGCCGCAGCACACTTGCATCTGAAGCCTGTGCAAGGGATGAAGCTGCAGACAGATGTTGCTTCACGAACCTGGTGCTGACTGAGCTGCTTTATGGAGAACCAGCTTTTCGAGGTGAGATGCGGATGAATTCATTTTTGTGTACAGATGCAAAATCCTTGTATGATTGCCTGGTTTCAGAAAATCCAGCACTTGCAGACCGTAGGTCAATGGTCCAGGTCAGATCCGTTCAGCAGAACTTTCCACCTGAACGCATACGGTGGGTTCCAACGAGACTCCAGTTCTCAGATGGTTTGACCAAAGCGGACCAGAAACTGCGAGAGGCCATGCGAAATTGGTGTCAACATCCCTGGGCCCAGATCAAAGACGATTCATCCAAAACTAAGACCAGTGTTAATTTTGTGAGCATGCGGTCCTTGGATGAATGCAACTGACATCAATCTGATTCGCTGTGCCGCTTTTCCTTTCAAGACGGCCAATTGAGCCATATATGCACTTGTGTGAAAACCGCGGTTCACTTTGCACCTTGCACTCATGGCGTTTTGATCTTCGCAACGACTTGGAGTAGCAGCACACTCCATATGTCAGACATATAGATAAGCGGAATGGATTTCCATGAAAACCCAGAAACAACATGAAGCAACTTGCAAAACTCTTGTAGCTTGTCTTGTAGTCCGGAGTCCGAAGTTCTCGTTGTGCTCTGCAGATCTCCAAGGTGAAGAACATCCCAAACTTAGTGTCTTGGTTTACCAGTGCCGCGGCCTGAGAGGGCCTTGGAAACCCAGCACTGCAGGGCCTACTGGGGCCTTGGCCTTTGCACTGTATCGTGGTGTATCGCACCGTTCACAACTGGCACTCAATGCAATCTCAATGCAATGCAATGCAACCTTGGCCCAGGACTCAACAAGTGTCAGCCTGAAAACCGCAGCTGACTCAGATAACTGATTACTTACTTGGTGTCGATTGACCTTCAGCATGCGGTATTTGAATGCATTGAGATTTTTTGGCCTGCTTAAACTCTCTCTCCCTCTCTATTGGGAGATTCAGTGTCTAGGTCGTTCTGTGTTGCTATTAGGCCATTGCTTTAAGATCTTTAAGGCCGCACTTTCAAATCTCTTGGCAGCCGTCCAGCGGTTTCCAAACGCTGGGGATCTCAACGCTGTGCACGTCGCAACGTGCTTTCCCATGGCTCGTAGCATTTCCAGCTGGAGGTCCTGGACAAAGACCAGCACATCCGTCCTATGGAGGCCGTCAGAAGGGCGTGGATGTGATACGGCTCATATGACTGATATATATATATATACATATATATATATGTGTGTGAAATTGATATGACTTTTTTTTTGATGTGATAAAGTTTGATAAAGTGCCGAGGAAAGACTATCGTTTGCTCTCTCTGTTGCACACATCTGCACACTTCATCCTGTCAGGTTCAGTTTTCAAGGCTGTTGACGGGTGCATCCTTGGAAACACGCAAGACAACTTCCACAACGCTGTTTGGGGTAGTGCGCTTAATTGACAGATTTGACAGTGCGATGGTGAACCATCTACTTTGCAAACAAAGATGTGTTCTTCTCCAAAGCTCTCTGCATTTGCATCTCCAAGCCGCTTCATAGTGTCAGATCCTGCCAAATCCTGAGGTCAGAATAGTGTCGACTTCAGCTGCCTGCAATGTCACAGAGGCCTCCAACAAGGACCTAAATTGGACAAGCATGGACAAAGCATGGACAAGTGTTCAGCTATGTTCAGCTATGTTCAGCTTGAGGTTTGCCGATTTTGCCGCTGCTTCTCGAGGTTGATGGAACGCCAACTCGCGATTTCTTCACCTGCATGAACAATTCCTTTGACTACTCCGAGGCCAGGTGCACAGGCCTTGGTTGTAGGAAGCGGCAAAAGACATGGCAAGTGACACGTAGTGACCTAAGTGTGGCAGGATGTGGCAGGGTCAAGCACAAAATTGACAGGATCAGCTCCTGAATGTGCATGTTTTCAGCTCCCTCTACTGCTGGCTCTTCTACCTTTACCAGGCAGTTGTACTGTTGCATGTTATGCCATGTTATGCCCGCGTCGGCCATGTGCACCCATAGAAACCCAAAGAATCCCAAAGAAACATCAACTGAACACCACTTGATCAGTGAGCTCCTATCACCTTGGAGGCTCAGCTCTTGGAGGCTCGGAAGCGGTTGGAAACCTGGAAGATCTCAGGTCTTGGAAGCTTCCCAGAGCTTCCAAGATTTTCCCTCATTTTTGTAGCCAAAAAGCCGCAGTCTGAAAACCCACCGCCATGAGGCAAAGTAGAGATGACATCGTTTCAAAATTGGAGCACTATGGTGACAAGCCCAGATGCATTACCGGGTCTACTGTTTTTTCGACTTTCGTGCAAGCTTGAGCATCAGGCATGTAAGCGGCTTGTAAACCTTCTGTGATGCAGGTCAGAAAGCTCACTTCATGCTCCGGGTTCTTGTGGTCCAAAGGGTGCTGAACAGATTACTGCAATGATTAATCAAAGTGGAATCACATTTTCAAGGATTTCATGCGAACCAAAGCTTGCAATTTGGACGACCCGCATTGTATATGTCACCTTCACGTCTCATGAGTGCAATCATATTTCGAGCATAAATGCAACACTATATCGGGCAAACCCTCCGGACGCCCTAGCAAAAAATATAGGGATCACATTGACGTGGCTTTATCCAGAGTGAAGGTAAGAATCACAACAGTAAGTCTTGACGATTTTCACTTCAGCAACCCACATGCGGTGATGCTTCTGGCTATGGTTCCTGGCTCCGCTCTTTGCGGCAGGAATTCATTGCAGTCATATTGCATCCATCGTGACGGCTCGCACGCAGCGTTCCTTTGAAACTGCTTCGTTTGATCCCAGCAGCATGTTCAGCCCCAGTTCTTCGGCTTCTGAAGCCGGTGAAGCCGGGTTTCTGCCGTACAGAGAGGTACACGCACATCCATGCACTCGGCTGCTGGTGGCCACGTTGACTGTGTTGGAAACTGCAGCTGTCGTCCCGACACTCTGGCTCGAACAGCGCCTTGGACATGCAAATCATGCAGTTGAACAAATCGTCCTCCGAGTGGCGTTGATGTTGCTTCGTCTAAATCCAATCTGGAGGGTGCTATCGATGTGCTTGTACTACTGTGCTTTCAGTCGGTGCATGGCCATGTTGCCATTTCCCTTCCAGTGGAGATGCAGACAATGGTTTCAAATGTTTCAAAGTGAATCCTGCTCTAGGCTGCCTGAGATGCGCTGGGGAGCGGTGGTGACTTTGGACCTGTGGTTCTTTCTTACCACACACTTGATTGGAGCAGAAGAGCCTCTGGCAACGATCTCCATAGCGCTCTTGATCGTCAACAGTCTACTTTGCATCCTTGACATCCTGGCGCTTGTGATCTTGCTACTTCAGGGCAAGCAGAATGTGGCTGAAGTCTATCCGGTAGTCACCTTTCAACGCCCAAAAGAAATCAAGTGGTGCATTTCAGAAACCGCAGGGACCGAAGGGACCGGCTCAACCTGTGCGATTTGCCTCAGCGAATTTGGCGAGGGAGAGTCCGTCCAGCTGCTGCCATGTGGGCATGTGTTTCACACAGATTGCATTACACACTGGTTGCAGGTCAGCCATTATTGTCCTATGCGTTGTCCTGAATTAGTCTTGCCTCCGCGTTTCGAATTTGGTGCTACACTGCCGCCCGGCCAATTGTACGAATCGGGCAGAGCGGAAAGCATAGTCACTCAATATGACGGCCCGTTGCTAGAAAGTGGGCAAGGTACAGAAGTGGATGTCATTCCGGAACTGTTAGTGCTTCCAGGTCAAGTTCCAAGAAGCTAGCAGCTGACACCGGAGCTACTTGCATCTACCGAGTTTCAAAAAATGCAGAGTTCCATCAGTTCCATCGGTTCCATCTTCCCAGTGGGTGGTAAGGCCCACCGATCCGAACAGCAGGCCTGCTTCATGAAGATCCATGAAGATCATGGACTTCTATGGATCGCATCCAACGATATCAACGATCATATGGTCGTATTTGTTCGGTTGCCAGTCGCCAACGATCTGATAATGAGACTGGAGCTGCTCAAGCAGCGACAGGTTGAGGCCCATCTGAGGCAAAAGACTTGCGGCTTTCCATTGGTTTGAAGATGTCGAATGTATCGCATGAAGAGCAATGCTAAAGTAGGCACAGCATGGCGTAGCAACATAATGAAGAAATGCCGCAGTTCTGTGGAACCAGAAAGTCGCCTCAGGCCTTGTGCATGGTGCTGGTTGCAGCCCCAGACTTGGGTTGATTAAAAGAGTTGGTGTAAAGACTTTTCTGGGGTTCTTCATCAGGAGTGGAAATATGATGAAATATGCGTGCTCCGCTTTGCTTCCTTATAGTATCTGATAGTATCTTACGGTATCTTATAGGTTCTTATAGGTTCTTATAGGTTCTTATAGGTTCTTATAGGTTCTTATAGTCCATCCTAGTCTGAGGCACGGACGCCAGTCCTGGCGACGACGATCTCATTTCGTGGGGCCCTCAGCAATCTGTGTCCGTGCAGTGACTCCATATTTCACCCACCTTATGGCCATAAGATTCTCAACCTTAATCATTACAAGCTGCACCAACTTGAGCACTTACACAATATCACACATGTACATACATTATCATACATTTACCGTATATAATACAACGCTACTATAGCACAGGGAACTGCATTTCTTCATCACATTATTACACAATAACATATTTAACTTGATGTTGGTTTATTTCTACCGATTAAATATATGGCCGCGGCTCAAAATGTAGGCCAGGCGGTCAATAGCCCCAATCCATACCCATGATACACAAGCCTCTAAGGGACTCTAAGGGATATGATCCATATTGATCCATACCCTTGATCCATACCCCAAAATGACAAGGTGTACTTCTACCAGGTCCGGATCAAACCTCTTATGCGTCGCTCACTCGTTCCATACATCCGGAGCACGCGCAGAAGACCCGATTTTTGAGCCATACCGGGCCATACCCAACTCAAACGTTTATGCACATATGCGCACACATATGGCGGTTTCCATAAATGGGGGTACCCCATTTATGGATGATTTATAATGGAAATTCCTAAGATGATTTAAGATGGATGATTTTGGGGTACCCCTATTTCAGGAAACCACCATATTCCACCATAATCATGTCGATGCATGACATCGAGCACGCCTGTCGATTCATGATTCATGGAGGCCCGGACGTGAGACCTCCTTTGGCCACGAGGAGGTTCAGAAATTTCACTTAGGACAATCGAGGTTCTTTACTGAACCACTATCTTATATATATGGTCCCGTGTCCCGTGTTCCCACCCCCCCCCATGGGATGGGGGGGGGTATGATGCCCCTGTGGTGGTGTATATACATACATACATACCTACATACCTACCTACCTACCTACCTACATACCTACGTACATACATACATACATACATTACATTACCTTACCTTACATTACCTTACCTTACCTTACATGACCTTACCTTACATTCCATACATACATACATACATACATACATACATACATACATACATACATACATACATACATACATACATACATACAACATACATTACATACATTACATACATTACATACATTACATACATTACTTACATTACATACATTACATACATTACATACATTACATACATTACATACATTACATACATTACATAAATTACATACATTACATACATTACATACATTACATACATTACATACATTACATACATACATACATACATACATCCGACGTAGTAAGTACATACATACATACATACATACATACATACATACATACATACATACATACATACATACATACATACATACATACATACATACATACATACATACATACATACATACATACATACATACATACATACATACATACAACATTACATACATTACATACATTACATACATTACATACATACAACTACAGGACACACCACCACAGACATCATACATACCATACATACAGACAGACAGACGACAGACAGACAGAACAGACAGTTCATACACATACCAACATACAACATACCAACATACCAAATACCAACACCACAGGCCACAGGGGGGGGGGGACCAGAAGAACCATACCAACACCACAGGCCAAAGGGGGGGGGGGGACCAGAAGAACCATACCACCAACACAGGCCAACAGGGGGGGGGGGGACCAGACGAACCAGACGATACTGTTCCACCCAGACCCATTGGTGGGGGGGGGGGAGGGGGGGGTGGCCAACGCTGCACCATATATATATATTATATTATATTATATAATAAAAATATATATATATATATAAATAATATAATAAATAAATACCATATATATATAAAGACTCATATGCGCGAAATCTTCCTGATGATTGTCAAATAGATTAAAGGTCCAGTGTTGGCAGGATTTTGTGAGGGAGAGATGGATTTCTTCCAATCGCGCGATGATTTGCAGATTTGGACCATGGCTCAAGGCGGCTCAGCAGGTGCCGAAGCCCTCCGAGAAGTGCGCAGCCCAGATGGAAACTTGCATTGGCAGGTTTTGAAGATTATTCGAGATTCTTCGAGATTATTCGAGATTCTTCGAGATTATTCAGCTGTCAGATTGTCTTCATGTTCCTTGTCAAAAAAGGCGATGGAAACAGAGCTTCTTTTCTCAATCTGGACTCTACTGATGACCAGCCCGCAGCGCGAGGAACCCCTTGATTGGCAACTTCACGCTGGATGACAGTTTCCGCGAGGCCACGCTTCACCAATTGGCCAGTCGCAGCAGCACACAATCTATCGAGGATTCTGGATGGCAGGTCGTCATCAGTATTTGCCTTCGAATCCTTTCTCAGGCAAGGGTCGTTTGGTGCCAATCTGCCATAATCTGCCGTCATGTATTATTCTTCGTTCTCTGAGGTTGAGTTGGATATCGTCCGAGATGGTCCGCAGCCTTTCTGCCATGTTTTAATCCAACCCTGTGAGCAGATCTTAATGGCAGTCGGCATGTCAGGCAGATGCGACTGGGAACCAGGCCTGACTTTCATAGAGCAGAATGCTGTAGCATTCAGCAGTTCTGAGCGAAGGTATGTGATATCTGAACTGGACTGGATGCGGGAATTCATCGAGGGTGTCTCCATGGAAGCAGCTGGGCACCAAGAAACGATTTGAAACGGCTTTCATATTTAAACATATTATATAAACATATAAACCACATGAAAAAATCATGATTTCCTTCGGATTCCTTCGTTAAAGACGAGTCATTGGCCATTGCCAATCTCCGCGGAGGTTCGGATCCTCGATTTGCTGTGCCTCATGGACCCATCCCTGGTTACTCGCATCTTCCCCGCGGTCAAGAAGGCCACCGTGGCCACCGTCCAGCTGCAGCTTTCATCAGGTTTCAGTTGAAAATTATAAAATTATTGTGTTTTGAACATTGGTTTGTCCCGCTCCGGGAGGTCCACATAGTTTGCAATTCGCGGGTGTCCGCGCTGCCTCAGGTTTACGAGAGAACAGCAAACCGTCAGTCGCCTCCCCAGCTCAGCAAGCGATGGATCTGCTTGGACGGACACCAGTATCATCATGATATAATTCAATGTTCCGAAGTCTTAAAAATGCATCATGCCAAACATCCTAGATATGAAGAGCGAAAGCAAGAGACGGAGTCAAGATTGTGACTATATTTTGCAGTGGCGTTGCGTCTGATGTTCTTAAGGAGCGGGGTGGTATTTGCTTCGGTCCTGCAATTCTTCGTGAATCATGGGCAGCACGTCATCCAGCTGCATCTCGGGACAAGTATTCCGGAACTGTTATGGAAACCAGCCAGTTGTTCCGCGGGAGCACGTAGCCACTGCCGGCAGGTCATTTTTGATGTGGATCCGGTCTTGCACCACTTCTTTGAGGACTATGTCAGTTTCCCGGAATGGAGCCAGACTTGGACATACTTGGACTATTTCAGCCAGCTCCCTATGCTTAGTGGCATAGCCGCATGGTGTAGCCATGCGCTGCAGCAGTCGTAACACCTGTGCGATCCTGTTTGTCAGGTGTCGGTGAAATACAGACAACAGCTGCTTGCAATGCCAGCCTCTCAGTCTCGGCTGGTGATCATGTCCTATTTTTGGTCGTAACCCGAGCCGTGTCTTATGGGCCTTCCAATTTTTTCGAGAGCTGCGTTGAGCCAGGAGTACGCTGCTGTTTCTGACCACCAACACCTCAAAGATGCTTTTGCATACCCCTGTGTGCCCTGGAAGCATGTCTTTGCTGGAACTGCAATAAATCGCCAAGTCAGTTGAGGATTGTTTGTGTAAGTCAGTGAGGTTCCCCAAGTACTACCCAGCCATCATCAAGCTATTGGCCTGGTCCTCCTGAGCATGTTGGGCGGTATGGGTTAGCATCACAGTACTGCATCATGTTGGCTGATCCATAGCATGGAAATTTGGTTCCGTTTGAGCTATTTCGTGCTTGCTCTCTAAACAGCACCGACATGCAGGTAGCATGCAGGTAACATGCAGGTAACATGCAGGTAACATGCAGGTAACATGCAGGTATTATCAGGTCCTTGCAGCAGTTTGGAAGACACTACTGTGGGTCTCTCTCATGCATGGGTCTCCTTAATCTGTGTTGCTGAAAGTCGAACAAGCTTGGCTTTCCTCTAGTTTCACCATGTTTCAGCGGAGTTCAATGTGCTGACGTGTGCTGACAGCTCTTGGCCTTGGAATGGACTGGGTGCAATTGAGCTCAGCGATCCATCCGCCAAGGGTGCTACAAACCCCAGCCGCTGCAATGATGTTTCAGCGGCAGGCATTCAGCTCATTCCAACGGTCACTTGCCTATGAAGAATCTCTTAATTAGTTTTAGAGTCCTAGGTCCTAGAGTCTAGGAGGCATCCTGGACAGATGATAGTCCCTATTCCACTCGATGATGAGGTCATGAATGGGACATGACTTGACGGTTTAGAGTTGTGGCTTGTTTTGCATGCTTCTGCCTCGGTACTGGTCTAAGGACCTGGGCACATGGAGGAGCGCCAGTATTTGTGGGCATTGCCATGCTGCTCACTGTGAGGATGCCATGCAGACAGCTTGGGACTAGATCTGAGTCAGGCTGGTGGCCAGGGAAACTGCAAAAATTGCCACACCGTCAACCGTGTCGGCCCTGTCGCTATATTGCACCACATGGCCAAGGTCTATCTGTAGATAGTGGGGCTGGGCAGCCACCATTGACTGGCTCGACCAGCTCGACCAGCTCGACCAGCTTCGGCCAGGGTCCCATTTCAGCCATTGATCAGCCCCTGAAGCATTGGGAGCTTCAGATACACGGCCTGGTGGTAGTCATGATAAGCATGGAATATGTCACCTCGGCCGAGTTGCAAGAAGAAACACAGGCCCTTGCCTACGCTGACTGGGGATACTATGAGCGATGGGGCGTGGCATTGGCAAAGGTCCTGCTTCGCAAAGGTCTCCTAGATGTACCGGATTTGGGTCGGGCCCTAGGAGTGTACAACACCACTGAGTGCCAGGACAAGGGTTTGCGCTTACTGAAGTCCGGGGGGCGGATGATGACGTCCCAAAAGGATCGAAATCGGACTATATAATCAGACACAAGGGGTCGACAAAGTTCCCATCAAAACTTTCCACCAATTTTCGAATACCTTCATGCCCTTGCATGCGGACAGCCTGAGAGGACTGTGAGTTTGACATTGGAGAGAGGGTTTGGGTCAAGCAAAGTTGGCCTGGTCAACCTTCATCAATGTGGAGGCGCCCTCACCTGTCAGTTCCAGGCAAGTTGGAGGCTTTGGAAGGCAAGGTGGTGCACAAGCTCGGCATGAGATCAGATCCCAATTTCTTAAAATTCTTCGAAGATCTTGGCTTCACTGGCGCCAAAAACTCTGAGCATTGCTACTCGGTTGAATTCGCGCCCAAGACACGGACGATTTGCATTGAGGTCTTCCAGAGCTGGCTTCAACGAGAGGCAAAACACGTACGGAGGGTTGAAACATGTTGAAACCTCAAACGGGAAACTGGACTTGTAAATCTATACCTTACTCATTTTTTTCAATAAGTGAGCACGGGCCCAACCCTGCAGGTTTCCAGCTCAAGTGGCGACATCCCTTCAACTGGCACAGCCAAGCCCTTGAAGTCGCCTGTGAAGGCTCCTAAGCGTCGATCCCTGAAGCAGACGTTGAAGACCATGGTCCAAGACATGCACGATGCTTCCGCCATGCAGGTCCTGCAGCTTCCGCAGTCACCTGCCCAGCGTCACCAGGATGAGGACCGTAGCCGCCCTGGCGGTCCTGGTCCTCCTAGCCGCCCGATGAGCCATGAAGATCATGACCATTCGGACCATTCGCACCTTTCTCGTGCAGAGGTGGAGCAAGCAGCAGTCGACAAGGAGGGCTGTGAGGTGCCTGGACAACGACTTGCTGAAGCCTTGTTGGAGAATCTCGTCCACAAAGGGCTCATTGCCGGAACAGCAGTGGCTCGAGCGATTGAAGTCATTGAATCATTGGGGCTGCAACCTTTGGGACCTCGTGTTGTCGCACGGGCGTGGCTGGATGAAAACTTCAAAAGACGACTGTTGGAGGATGCCAATGCCGCCATCCAAGCCTTGGATGAAGCCAACTCAGCCAACTCCAATCATGTCAAGGTTAAAGTGGTGGAGTCAACGGAGAAGGTTCACAACTTGGTGGTTTGTACACTGTGTTCCTGTTATCCTGTGAGTCTTTTGGGCTTATCTCCATCATGGTACAAGTCACGCGAGTACCGAATTCAGGCAGTAGAAAGGCCCAAGGAGCTTCTGAAGGAGTCTTTTGGACTGGAAATTCCTTCGGATGTTGACGTTCAGGTGCACGACTCGAACTCGGAGTTGCGACATGTTGTCCTTCCCAGAAGGCCAGCAGCGACTGAAGGCTGGTCCGAGGAGGAGCTCATAGCATTGGTGACGCGTGATACGATGATTGGTGTCGCAATACCTGAAGCCTGAGGTGTTCTGCGTTGTACTTCCGCAAGGGCTACTGACGCTGCTGGCAAATGCTGCCAAGGATTTGCCGACTTCTTTGCCTTTCTGATCAAAATGGTCTCAGACTGGTCGCAGCCCGATTTCAGCCACAGACGGTTCGCGGTGAGAGCTGGAGCGAGGAATGCCCAAAGGCACTGGAGCACGTATCTTATGGCAGTTTGCAGAAAGGGGATGAAAGGGGACTAACACCGGTTGCCCTTATCGCGATAGTACTGGCTATCGGCATGCGCCAGCACCACAGGGTGAGCTGCCAATGAAGAAGTGAGTAGGATAGAAGACATTAGAAGAGACGAGTTTCAAAACTGCTTGGAGTGGAAGTCGCGATCAGTTTGAAAATATTTGAGGATGCTTTCTGATGCTTTCTAAAATTTTCTGCATGCTCTGAGAAGGCTCCAATTTTGACACGTGCCAGTGGCAGGCATCCGCGCACGCTGGCCGAGGAAGTGCTGCATCAAGCCCAGATCTGTGACCAACTTGCCAACACCCCAAAGGCCCAAACCATCCCAAATCAATCCAAATCTCGCAGAACCATGCAGTTAGTATGGCATGGTCCTCCCACCAGATAGAGAGGGGAGTTCCATGGAGTTTCCACAGTGCGGTAAGTAAGCAGTCAGCGTGGATTTGACAGACAAGAATTGAAAACACACATATCAATACACATCACATATTATACAATAATCAATAGTCAGTCTGATGAGTCAGCCTACTACAATATAGAACCCTTGATGAGCCTACAGATAAGCTTGGCAACGAGGGTTGGTAACCCCCGTTATGTGATGTCTGCATGGTGGTGCATTGTGTGCATTTAAAGGCCGCAAGTGTGGGTCAAAGAATTCTCGGCCTGAGTAGTGCGTCAACCCACCCGAGTCGCATTGTACAGCAGCCTGGCTGAACGAAGCAACTTTGCAGGTGTTGGAAATCTTATGGTCACACATTCTGACAGCTATGATACATGACATGTCTAAGCGAACAGTGCCCCATCATGATACCGTTGGAATTCAGCTACTGCCTGGGTTGGCGCGCTTGGAATTTGATCTTGACGTTTGACGTATTTGACCCATTTTGACTTGGTTGCCTTATTTTCAATTATTTTTGTATCTTCCGATCCTTGAGATCCTTCAGATTCAGCTTCGCATGGCCCTCCTCTTGCCCTTTCCACTTTGCCCACGAAGGCATCTGCCCAGAGCCCCAGTGCCCGCCGATTCAATCTGCATTCCAACTTTCTCAATGCGTAACTGCCGACGCCGCTTGTGATGCAGGGCAGAGACGGGTATGCTTTTGGCCATGGGCGAACTCCCCCCGCAGAAAAGCAAATGTGCAAATGTTTGTACTGGATTGTATACTTATCTGCTGAGTAGTCCATTCATCAAAATATATCCAAAAGCATGACACTTGCTTCAATCTTCAATATTCTTCATTGGAATTCCCTGGCTCAACGGGTGCTGTCCAGTCTCAATCAGTCTCCTGGGTGCCAAGGACAGCAAGGACAGAGAGCCAATCGTCCCAGATTGGCTCCAAAAGCTGAGGAGGTCACTGCCACGACTGGTGGGAACTGATTTGACTATATTTGACTGGGAAACCTCAGGAAACCATCACACATTTGATGGATGGCAGATGCAGGAATGATTGGAATGGGTGGCAAGTCCAGAATGAAGATGTGACCATCTGTGACCTCTGTCAAGTGTTCGGCAACCCCTTCTCGTTCAGAGCATGACTGGATAGCAGGAGCGACAGTGGAAGGAGGAAGCAATCTCAGCCGCGCAGGTTGGCTTTTTGAAAGTGATGAACAGAATGATGGGAGCTGGCTAAGTCCATCCAGAACTCTGAGACTGTGGGGAAATCAGGGGAAACCATGTGCAAGGATGGTCCCTCCAAGTCTCCAACTGTGGACAGTGCAATTGATTTTCGTGGGTTTTGCCAGGCGCAGCCATGGAGACCTTCATGGGAGTGCCTAGCCTCCAATTCGTTAAGTTTAGAGTCTAGATATGCCCAAGCTTTTGGAACTTGGATGTGACATGATGTGACCTTACTTTATCTCCGCTGAGGCGAAAGCCTTTGACAAACCCGCCAGCACGACAAAAAGAGTGCTCCGTACCACAAATTGACGAATCTCTGGTCATTTGGCTGCGACTTGAGAAGTATGCTTTCCTTATATATTTTAGATGCTGCCTGATTCCCACTCGCTGGTCAAGCGATCGGCGTAAATTGGGAACCGCGGGTGCTTGTATCCAGCTTGAGCACATTCTGTACCAATTGCACAGGTAGATGCAACTAGTCCTGCAACACCTCGATAAGGTCAAGGCTTTTCAAACAGAAAGCAGGTAAAACAAGGGTTGCTGCGATACTGAGCTGAGAGCATGGTTGAAACTGATCGGTCCGGCCACGGCAAGGTGACGTCAAGCAAGCCCTGGAGGCCTTCATGGGAGTGATTCAGCCCAACTGAGATATGCTTAGTAAATATGTGTAAAGTGGATTCGTTGAAAGCGAATTCATCCATTCTTCTGAGTCCATGTCACAACATGTCACAACATGTCACAACATGTCACAACATGTCACAACATGTCACAGCATGTCACAACATGTCACAACATGTCACAACATGCAAACATGTCACAACATGTCACAACATGTCACAACATGTCACAACATGTCACAGCATGTCACAACATGTCACAACATGTCACAACTGGTCCATTTCGATTTTCTTCCCCTTCCATGTTCTTCCGTGGTTGCTGTAATAGGCAGCTGCTTTTTCACCAAGGAAGGAACGGCCCGAGCAGGCACAGCTGAAGGACCTGGCGCCAAAGTTGATGCCAGCCTGGCAGCCTTGTCCAAAAGGCTGCAAATCTTCGAAGGAGGACACGGAGGGGTGGGTTAAAGAAGTTTCACTATAGAACTTCTATTTCCATGGCTTCCACTTCCAAAGACTGCTGATTTGGAATGTCTTAGAACAGTTGACGCAATGTAAAAGGGGTTTCCATCCTCTGATTTGGTGACGGGAGCGACAGAGCATTTTGATTTGAGACGCGTAGACTGCGTAGATGATCCAGTCATCTCCAGTAGATTCTCCAGGATATGGGCATCTAAGAGGTTTGCGGAGTCAGGCAGCCAGGCTGCCAAGAAACTTGAAGAGCTTCATTTAGCTGCCAGGCTGCAGCAAGAAAGGAGGGATCCGCACAGGAACTTTCCCGTGTAGGGGGTGGCGAGTCTGGTTGCTTTATCTCAGGATATCTAAGAGTTTCTACGGTTTCTAGGCAGACTGACTCAGAGTGGAAGATTTGCAGGTGTCAACAATTTCTTTCAGTTTCATTCACGTAAGTTAAGCAGAGAGCATTGAGACAACAAGATGCGAGGCAAGAAGAAGTGAGGCTCAGTTTGAAGCAAAAAGGATCCCGCAAACCCTGTTCAAATATGCTACAAAAGAAATGCAAGTCACCAAACAGTGGAAGCATTGGCGCCTCTTATACTCTTGATTACTCTTGGCACTTACACCTCGATGCTGAGGTCAGGAAGTGTGAAGATGACACAGGTGACAAAGATGACATTGATGCATTTTCGCAGTCTGACGCCAAAACGGTAGCGACGACGTCTTTGCACTCAGAGGCGCTTGGAGCTCGAATTGCCCCATGACGTGAATCAATCAAGTGTCTGAGAAGAAATATGAAATTGATATAAATTGATTAAACTTGAGACTTGTGCAAAACTTCCGAGTTTTTGGCGAAAGCGCTTGCAAGAGTGGTATCTAGCCACTGGCGAGAGGCTGGGAACGAGTCTGTCAGCCGGGACGCCGACGTCCACAGCGAACAGACACTTGGCTGAAAGGTTTCACAGGATATTTGGGAGCTACTGGGCATCTCTACTGCAGCTACTGATCCCCTTGCTAGCAAGAAATCAGAAGACATGTCTATATTGAAACACACTGCAAGGCTTAGATAGATAGATGGATGGATAGATAGATAGATAGATAGACAGATTGACAGATTGACAGATTGTAGACAGATACAGAGATAGATAGATGGATGGATGGATAGATAGACAGATTGACAGATAGCTACATAGCTAGATAGCTAGATAGATAGCTTTAACTTTGGGCAATGTTTCGTTTTTCTTTTCATGGCTCTCGCAGCCGCAACTGGAGGAGCTACTCAGAGCTGCTAACTGATGCCTCTGCTGCGGAGGACAGTCACTGGGCCAAGTGCGTCATGGGCATGGAGCACCAGAGGGAATGTTGGGGAGCTGCTTTCCGGCAGAGAACATATAATCAAATGGAATATGCTTGTATATGAGTGCATATGACTTCACATGACTATGCATATATATATATGTATACACATACACACAAATAGATATATAATGATATATATATACATTGACCGAATATGACATCCATGTTTGCAACGACTGGGACACCTATGCGCATCCAAGGTTTGCAGCACATCCTTGCCAGATTGCATCTCGATCTGATGGCACAGGAAGTGAGGTTTCAACATGCTTCAGCGAGAACACCCAAACAGACACACTTAAACACAATCAATAATCAATTAATTAATCAGTTAGTTGGAGTCAGTTAGTTGATGTTAGTTGTTGACTGAGTTGCAACTACATAAGTAAGCCGTACTATGTTGTATCGGTTCCCTGTTGGTTGAGGCAAGATGAATCTGCGCAGCTCTCTCCTTTGCGAGAATGGCTCTTCAACACTGTCAGGTCGATGGCCGAAGCTAAAAAAGCTCTGTAAAGTAAACAAATTGATAGTTAGAAAAATCGTTTGAGAACAACATGAGAATTATACCGAATTATTGAGAATTAAGACATGCAACATCATGCAACATTCGGCCGACACACTGGTGCCCTGGCCATGTCAGCAAAGTTGACCGCGCTACCTTGGCAGGGACGCTGCCAAAGAGGCACTCGGCGAGAACTTCGAACGAATGATCTTGGTCGGCAGCGTCCCGAGCTCAGCTCACACAACACTGTGGTTTGAGCTGATGTGAGTTGACCTCAGTTGTGAATGTGCACGTATGTATGTGATATATATATATATATATTATACCTGTGTGTGTGCGCGCGCATCATGCACGTTCATGCAGTTGCAATAGGGTATACATGCTGTTGAACCCATTGATTCCTGTTGTGTCGTATCGATTTTGACACCCACGGACACTCTATAGACTCTATAGACTCTATAGACTCTATAGACTCTATAGACTCTATAGACTCTAGCCACGCACTGCGCATGCCACGGGCAGGTTGCTTTGCAGATAGACATCCCGTCTTCAGTCTGGTGCCCAGCCATGCTATGCCGCGCCATGCCGCGCCATGCCGCTCCTTATTGCGCTGCCCCGATGCCCCGAGGACGTGGACGCCGTTACCTTTACCACCGGTGCCACCGGGGTGGACGGCATCCAAGCGCTTCATGCGACTGCAGCGGCCTTGCGGAAGCAGGTGATGGAGTCAACAAACAAACCCACGCATGATTTATAGTCTGAACATAATGAACATAACGTGAACTATACATGAACATAACATGATCAATCAGAATCCATCACAAGAATCTCAGCTGTATAAGCAACCCTTTCAAGGGAAATCAATTCGTTTGCAATGTGTTGGTGTCACCAAAACAGGAGCCAACCCTCAACGTGCAAGTCATTGCAACTGCTCGTGTGCCTATTCTGATGGCCAGTGCCTTATCAGACCCAGGCAGAAGGCTACCTCTCGGCTGTTTTGGCTGTTTTGGTTTGAGTTTGTCAGCTGACTGGTTTGGTATTTGCGAACGGTCTTTGAACTTAGGTTTCAACGGCAGACCATGCTGTACGAATGGACATGTCGGTGAATCAAAAGCTCCCAGTTGCACGACTGTAATTGATGAGGAGGTGGGTGTTGAACGTCATTTGTCATGCATATCTGACGTACCTGGCATAGCTAAGCTTCCTAAAACTCCTGGGTGCCGCGCTGAGGGCAAGCTTGCTGCTGCATGCTGCTGCCATGTGTTTCGTAGATGTTCTTGGGGGTAGGCAGGGGAAGCGAACATGGCATGAACAGGTGAGCATGTGGCCCGTTTTGGCCGGATTCCTGCTGGTCTGTTGTGAATGGCCCTGGGCACATCTGGGCACCTGATTCAGAACAAACCTAATATCAATCGCTATCATTCGATATATCATTCGATATGATGGCCGTGTTGATTCCCCGTCTCAGACCTGTTCCATCCTGTTCCACTGTTCACTGTTCCCCTGTCCGCCCATTTGCAAACTGCCAAGGATGAGCATGCTCGCTGGGTGGGAGATTTGAAAATCTTCAGGGAAGAGCAGCAGATCGCACGAGACTTCCTAAGATCTGTGAAATACTGGCATTCCCAGCGTCAGATTCCTGGAACAAAAGAGGGGGGCTATCCAGCCTTGGCGTGGTTGTTCTTGGCGCTACATGTCCTGACTGTGCATGCCAGGGGCACCAGCTCGAGTAGTCAGAGACCTTTGAAACTGCTCAAGGAGTTCTTCACTCTGATGGGTACGGATTCTACGGATGGTACTATGTCTAAGCTCACTTCCTGGTGCGCTCCGCCAACATGGCGAACACAAGGCTTTTGGCCATTTCCATCCATACAGGATCCAGTGACAAACATGACAAGCATGACAAACTCAGGAGGCCCACACGGTGCACACTTTTTGACCCACGAGATCCCTGCAGCAACGCAACTGCTTTATGCAGCTGAATTCCGCCGGGCACAGGTGTTGATAGCAGCTGCTGAGCGCACTGGGTCCATTGCACCTTTATTCGAGCCAAGGGATCGAGCAACATCTTTGCCTGTTGCCTATGATGGTGACATCGCACTGATATTGAAAGGAGGAAAGATTTGGGCAGTGGAACCGCTGGCTGTCCGCCAATTACGTGGTGGTTGGAAGGCTCCATTCCTTCATCGATGTGATTGCCAAAGTCAGGTGCGCGCGCGTGTCCACGGCGTTGATGGTCGCACTGGCCTTTTGACGCCTTTTCCGGAGTTGAGGGCGACGATGGACTTCACCCCTTCTGAATTTGTGGCCACAGTCGCGCAATGTCGTGGGGAACGTGGAGTGCGTCGTTTGGCACCTGGTGACTTGCAACTTTGGCAGGACATGTGTCAGCTGCTTCAGAAGGGTGAGCCATTAACTTCCCAATTGTGAATGGTGAGAAGGGAGCCGCTTGGACTTGCAAAAGCAGAACCCAAGTGCTAAAAAAGAGAAACAAACTGATGAAAGGACATCAGTAGTGTACGTGGCAGAGTGAGGCAAGGAAAGAAATTTATGGCATAACTTAACAATGCGTTCCATGAACACTGACGTGCATATTACATCATATTACATCATATATCATCATATTACATCATATTACATCATATTACATCATATTACATCATATTACATCATATTACATCATATTACATCATATTACATCATACTACATCATATTACATCATATTTCATAGGACAAACAACAATTTGTAGAAGATACCAGACTTTTGGCGCTGTGAATAAAACTGAAAAGATATGACAGTGCTGTATTAGTGATGCGAAGATATTAGAAGAGTCCGGAAGGGTTGTTTTGCTCTGAGATATTGCCTCATTCATGCACCCGAACGACTCAAAACTGTCACAATTACATTAGCTGCTACCTGGCGGCATTTTTCATGGAGCACCTCCTTGTCCATCCCGGACGAGGGCTTCAAAATGTTTCGGAGTAGGCTGCGAACAGGGATGTTTCACAATACGAAGTTGATCGAAGTTGCACATAGTACAGATGTACAGTCTCCCCAGCGTTCGGCATCCTTCTTCGCGCAAGAGCACGTGAAATGTGCCAAGCTGACTGAGTGAGTGTTGCCTTGAGGTGGAGTGTGCAAAGGATGATCTGATAACTACATATTATAACTACTGATAACTTCATTCAGGTTATACTTATATGGCGGTTTGGGTTGGTGGTTTGGAAGTCTGGGAAATCAGAGTTATGTGCAAAATAGATTTGAAAAATAAGTTTTTTTTTTTTGTGTGTGTGTTTTGTATTTGTTTTATTTTTTGTTTAACTAAATCTAATCTAATCTAATCTAATCCTAATCTAATCCTAATCTAATCCTAATCTAATCTAATCCTAATCTAATCTAATCTAATCCTAATCTAATCTAATCCTAATCTAATCTAATCCTAATCTAATCCTAATCTAATCTAATCCTAATCTAATCTCATCCTAATCCCCAATCCTAATCACTAATCACTAATCACTAATCACTAATCCTAATCCCTAATCCTAATCCCTAATCCTAATCCCTAATCCCTAATCCCTAATCCTAATCCCTAATCCCTAATCCTAATCCCTAATCCTAATCCCTAATCCTAATCCCTAATCCTAATCCCTAATCCTAATCCCTAATCCTAATCCCAAATTCTAATCCCTAATTCTAATCCCTAATCCTAATCCCTAATCCTAATCGCTAATTCTAACCCCTAATCCTAATCCCGAATCCTAATCCCTAATCCCTAATCCCTAATCCTAATCCCTAATCCTAATCCCTAATCCTAATCCCTAATCCTAATCCCTAATCCTAATCCCTAATCCTAATCCTAATCCCTAATCCTAATCCCTAATCCCTAATCCTAATCCCTAATCCTAATCCCTAATCCTAATCCCTAATCCTAATCCTAATCCCTAATCCTAATCCCTAATCCTAATCCCTAATCCTAACCCCTAATCCTAATCCCTAATTCTAATCCCTAATTCTAATCCCTAATTCTAATCCCTAATTCTAATCCCTAATTCTAATCCCTAATTCTAAATCCTCATTCTACTCCCTAATCTAAATCCTAATTCTAAATCCTAAATCCTAATTCTAAATCCTAATTCTAAATCCTAATTCTAAATCCTAATTCTAAATCCTAATTCTAAATCCTAATTCTAAATCCTAATTCTAAATCCTAATTCTAAATCCTAATTCTAAATCCTAATTCTAAATCCTAGTTCTAAATCCTAGTTCTAAATCCTAGTTCTAAATCCTAATTCTAGATCCTAATTTTAAATCCTAATTCTAAATCCTAATTCTAATCCTAATTCTAAATCCTAATTCTAAATCCTAATTCTAAATCCTAATTCTAAATCCTAATTCTAAATCCTAATTCTAAATCCTAATTCTAAATCCTAATTCTAAATCCTAATTCTAAATCCTAATTCCTCCTCCTAATTCCTCCTCCTAATTCTAAACCCTAATTCTAAACCCAATTCTAAATCCTAATTCTAAATCCTAATTCTAAATCCTAATTCTAAATCCTAATTCTAAATCCTAATTCTAAATCCTAATTCTAAATCCTAATTCTAAATCCTAATTCTAAATCCTAGTTCTAAATCCTAGTTCTAAATCCTAGTTCTAAATCCTAGTTCTAAATCCTAATTCTGAATCCCTGATTCTAAATCCTAATTCTAAATCCTAGTTCTAAATCCTGGTTCTAAATCCTAGTTCTAAATCCTAGTTCTAAATCCTAGTTCTAAATCCTAATTCTGAATCCTAAATCCTAATTCTAAATCCTAATTCTAAATCCTGATTCTAAATCCGAATTCTAAATCCTAATTCTAAATCCTAATTCTAAATCCTAATTCTAAATCCTAATTCTAAATCCTAATTCTAAATCCTAATTCTAAATCCTAATTCTAATCCCTAACTCTAATTCCTTATTTTCATCCCTAATTCTAATCCCTAATTCTAATCCCTAATTCTAAATCCTAATTCTAAATCCTAATTCTGAATCCCTAATTCTAAATCCTAATTCTAAATCCTAATTCTAAATCCTAATTCTAAATCCTAATTCTAAATCCTAATTCTGAATCCCTAATTCTAAATCCTAATTCTAAATCCTAATTCTAAATCCTAATTCTAAATCCTAATTCTTAATCCTAATTCTAAATCCTAATTCTAAATCCTAATTCTAAATCCTAATTCTAAATCCTAATTCTAAATCCTAATTCTTAATCCTAATTTTAAATCCTAAATCTAAATCCTAAATCTAAGTCCTAATTCTAAATCCTAATTCTAAATCCTAATTCTAAATCCTAATTCTAAATCCTAATTCTAAATCCTAATTCTAAATCCAAATTCTAAATCCCAATTCTAAATCCTAAATCTAAATCCTAAATCTAAATCCTAATTCTAAATCCTAATTCTAAATCCTAAATCTAAATCCTAAATCTAAATCTTAAATCTAAATCCCAAATCTAAATCCTAAATCTTAATCTTAATTTTAATCTTAATCTAAATCTTATCTAATCTAATCTATCTTTCTAAGTATCTGTCTATCTGTTTGTTTGTCTGCCTGTCTATCTATTTACTTATCTAATATATCATATCCAATATATCTATTTGTTTGTCTGTCTATCTATCTATCTATCAATCTATCAATCTATCAATCTATCAACCAATCTCATATATCTACATAATGAATCTATTTATTTGTTTGTCTATTTGTCTATCAAACTAGTCTAATCTTCTCTGATCTTATCTAATCTAATCTAAGCTAATCTAATCCAACCTCTCTAATCTTTCAAGTCTGTCTATTAATCTATCTAATCTATCTAATCCACCTAGTCTACCTTTTCTATCTGATCTATCTATCTGATCTATCTAATATGCCTACTCCATCCAAGTGACCTTACCTATCTATTCTATCTAAATAATCTACATGAAAGCAAAGCAGAGAAAAAAAAACAGTTTCTCTTGAAACAAATTCCATTGCGGCCCTATCCTGTACAGTACTCTGACTGATGCAGGTTTCATGGAGTTTCCATGGAGTTTCCATGCAGTTTCCATGCAGGTTTCATGTTGGTTACATGCTGGGTTTGCTGATTTAGCTAACTGGTGTGTAACCTCCATGACAACTCCCTGGAACCTGCATGGAATCTGCATGGAACCTCCATGGAACCTGCATCAGGCAGAGTGCATGGTAAAACCAACAAGTGTAGATAGAGGCATCACCTCCATAACGCACATGGAAACTGCATGAAATCTACATCAATTCTCCATGGAACCTGCATGGAACCTCCATGAAAACTGCATCAGTTAGAAGGCGCCATGCAACCATCACGTTTAGACACAAGAAACAACGGAACCTACATGAAACCTCCATGAAACCTCCATGAAACCTACATCAATTCTCCATGGAACCTGCATGGATACTCCATCAAGAAGCGCCATACAAGCACCAGGTGTAGATACAGGGAACAGAGACTTTTTTTTAGTGGACACTACGTGGAAACCATCAGACGCTTTGACGCAAATTGATCGCAAATCGATCGTAAATCGATCGTAAACTGATCGTAAAAAAATGCACAAAAACTGTCATAGCACCTGTGCATTTTGATGTCGTTTTCGCTAGGTCATCTGTCTTTGTTGATGTCCCTTTTTGTTTCTGCACTGGAAAAGTCAATTTCTTCCAGAGTTTCTATTTATCCTGAGTGTTCACTGCTTGGTGGTTTCGATTTTGGCAAGGTTTCAAATGTGAATTTTGTTTGATGTCATTTTGATGGAGTTTTATGTCTGTCTCGGTGTCAACTTGATGGAGGTTCCTAACATATAATATTGCAAACTAAGTTAATTAAAAGACGAAACCACCAAGAGAAATGAACTCACTTATGTCATCTTGGATTCTATGATCACCAAACCATATGAATACATGAATTAGCAAGTGCCGTTTTCTACAGGCCTTAGGTTCTTGTCGATGTCATATTGATGTTGTTTTATGGCCTTCTTATTCGTTTTTAGGCCGATGTCAAATCGATCGACAAAGGATCGCAAAATGATCGCAAAACAACGTCGAAATCCTACATCAAAATGACACATTACAAAGTCCACACTTGAAACCCTGGCCTTGCCAACATCAAAACCGCCAAGCAACGAACACTCAGGATAAATAGAAATTCTGGAAGAATTTGACTTTTCCAGTACAGAAACCAAAACAAACATCAGCAAAGACAGATGGCCTAGTGAAAACGACATCAAAACGCACAGATGCTATAACAGTTTTTGTGCGATCAATTTAGTTACGATCGATTTGCGATCGATTTGCATCAAAGCGTCTGATGGTTTCCATGTAGTTTCCATTAAAAAAAAACTCGAACATGTTCCCTGTATCTACACCTGATGCTTGTATGG